TCATCAGGTAATATAGACTCTACGGCGGCTGACCGCTAAGTGAGCGGCGAGTCGAAACAGTTGTTATTTATACACGCTGACACAATCGCTCCCTACCAAAGTAGCGAGTGACCGCGTCGTGCGATAAAAAAAACTGCCAACAGTTATTATTATTGTTATGATTATTTTTAAATACTATTATTATTATTGTTTTTGAGTGACCGCGCCGTGCGATAACAAATCTGCTACTAATTATTATTATTGTTATGATTAATATTTTAAATACTATTATTATTATTGTTTTATTGATATTATTATAATTATTTATTATTAATAATCTTAAAATTATTATTAAAGATTGGCCTTAAAGATGTTTAACAAAGGTGAATTGGAAACATTTGTTTGTTCATTCAGCAGTGTATAATTACCATTATTACTTTTTAAAATCTCCAACTGCTCTAGCACACACAGTCGTAGCCCCTTATTACAGGTATGTAACACTTCAAAGGAATGGTCGCTAGCTAGGTTGTGTCCAGTGTCCAAGAGATGTTTAGCAAAATGGGATTTATCAGGATTGCAATTTCTGTACGCGGCCATATGTTCTTTATAGCGCGTCCCGAAATTGCGACCAGTCTGACCCACGTAAACGGCGTGGCATTCGTCACAAACAAGTTTATAAACACCCGATTTTTGACTAATATTTAACTTATCTTTGTTATTACAAATATTCCTAAGCGAATTGTTTGTTTTGAATGCCACGTTAACGCCGTTTTTCTTAAGACTATTAGCTATTTTTTCCGATATGGGGCCTAAGTAGGTCAAACTACCCACATACCGCCGGACACTTTGAGATCGAACCGCGTACAAAGAATTGCGAACAACATGCTTTTGTTTCTTTTTAATAAGATTATCAACGAGACTTTTTGAAAAACCATTAGAGACCGCAATTTGATAAATTATATTAAGTTCTTTTAAATAATTTTCTTTATTTAATGGAACAGTGGACAGACGGTTAATGTAACAATAAAAAAGCGGCTAATTTATGTTGCCATGGATGACACGATGATGCGGGGATGACCGTGTCGGTATGAGTTGGCTTTCGATAAATTTGAAAAACATGTAACGACTCTTTTCTTGTTATTTTTAAATCAAGGAAATTAAGGGAGCCATCTTGTTCCAATTCAAGCTTAAATTTAATTTTTTCGTGGACTCTATTTATTTTATTAAGGAAAACATCCAGTTGTCTCCTTGTGCCTGTCCAGCAAATAATTATGTCGTCTACATATCGAGACTGGTCGCAATTTCGGGACGCGCTATAAAGAACATATGGCCGCGTACAGAAATTGCAATCCTGATAAATCCCATTTTGCTAAACATCTCTTGGACACTGGACACAACCTAGCTAGCGACCATTCCTTTGAAGTGTTACATACCTGTAATAAGGGGCTGCGACTGTGTGTGCTAGAGCAGTTGGAGATTTTAAAAAGTAATAATGGTAATTATACACTGCTGAATGAACAAACAAATGTTTCCAATTCACCTTTGTTAAACATCTTTAAGGCCAATCTTTAATAATAATTTTAAGATTATTAATAATAAATAATTATAATAATATCAATAAAACAATAATAATAATAGTATTTAAAATATTAATCATAACAATAATAATAATTAGTAGCAGATTTGTTATCGCACGGCGCGGTCACTCAAAAACAATAATAATAATAGTATTTAAAAATAATCATAACAATAATAATAACTGTTGGCAGTTTTTTTTTATCGCACGACGCGGTCACTCGCTACTTTGGTAGGGAGCGATTGTGTCAGCGTGTATAAATAACAACTGTTTCGACTCGCCGCTCACTTAGCGGTCAGCCGCCGTAGAGTCTATATTACCTGATGATGCCTCGTGTAGAGGCGAAACACGTGTCGTATTATCGTCGATGGTGTGTCTTGCCTGGAATAGTGGTGTTGAGAGTAGTGGTGCTTGGTATAGTGGTGACGGAGTTAGTGTATGCAATTGAGGGAGGGCGGGAGGTGCACTTCATTCCAGGTAAGACACATCATTTTATATGTTTAGCGGAAAGTTGCAAAGAAATTTATATTTTTATTTTTTATTATAATGGATTTCCGCAAAGTAACGCCTGATTCTATCAATTAACTATAGGTCTGTCTATAGACAGTAAAATAATTTCTACTATATAAAAATTTTTGTTTGTTCGTACTTTCTACGATGCCATACCGTTCATCAGATTGCGGTAAAACTTAGTCAACTTATTGGTTGCACTTGTGCGAAGGTTATACGCATGGTACAATTAACTGACACTAGGTGGCGTGCCTATTATCCTGACTATTTATTTGAAAGTTATAGAAAGTTATATATTATTATATTTCAATGATTGTATTATCATTCCTAATTATACAATATAACTGTTCCATATTTTTAACGATATTTCCACAATTATTTCTTCAGTGGCAGTAATGCGCCGGGTATGAGCTAGCAAGATAATATAAAAAAAATTTGAAACTTTGAATTACACAGTTATCAGTTATTTACAACATCATTCTCGAAATTAAAATTACAATATTAAAAAAAATAACTGAAATTATCAATTACCAAGCCCGATATGTGAATGGAGCCAGGGAGAAACGAGCACTTGGAAGCGTCAAGTGGTGCAGCCCCACCAAAGTCGCGAAATCAGTCGAGTGACGCATCGCCAATCGCCATACCAACACTCCTCTTCCCTTACGACTCCACCTCGACTACAGCAGTACAGGGAGAGGAATCTCCTGTAGCCGCACCCCACTAACACACATCCAAAGTGGCTCGACATCATCAGGTGACCTTTCGACACTTGGCTATGGCCCTTGAGTTTAGTGGAAAATGAGGAAAGAAGATATAAAAAAAACATTCGAAATAATAATCTAATACTTAGTACTTAGTAGTTGGTAGTGCTTGGTGCTGGTACTACCAGAAAATATTGTCGGTATACTGCACTTTTTCAAAGTGGTGTAGTTCTCATGTCTAATAAAAAAGTCGTCTGTGAAATGTTTGGAACAAATATGATCATTTTGTTTCGAACGCCAATTCACAATATTTATGATTATAAGCCAGTTGGAAACCTGTTAATTAATAAACATTTGACAATCATCTGTTGTTGGTGACTTTATTTGTTAACAGATATGGGTAGGAAAGAACATCGATAAGTATTATAGACAAAGAACTCGACAACCCTATTGAATTTTATTGTTTATCAAAACTCCGTAATATACATCCAAACATGTTGGTATATATGATATTAAGATTAGTAACACATTTCTAAGTACTTATATTATCAAATAGTTTAAATTTGTCTAATATTTACTGCAAATTCACTTACTTGTGAAATGTTATACCACTTTCCTTTTGGTAACGAGTTTTACAGATTACCCTCTCATTATTAATAAAAATAATTCTTATCATGTAACTAATATTATACACAATCAAACTACATAAAATACTTTCGTTTTTTAGTTTAAAAGTTCAAAATATAGACTTATTATATATGACAATATGAATAAGACAACATGCTTTGGCATATTATGTCAATTTTATTTTTCAAGACATCCTTTAGCGGCGCTTCAAATTGGCACAGTCATTTTATATGGTATAGCCGGTCCAGCGTACTTGTATATATAGAGGTCAGTGGGCCTACTACATTTATTGTTTTATTGCCACTCGTAAAGTAAGGTGCGTATGGTTTGAATTTTGATAGATATTAATTGATTGATTTATTTAGTTCAAAATTTTTGAAGTGAAAACTTCTTTAGCATCATTGTGATTTGAAAGTCTATGAAACGAAAAAGCGACAGTAAAAGAGAGAGACACATAAATTCATAAGATTTAATGTGGGAAAAAATGATAGGTAGGAATCATTATAGCTATATTATAGCTAGGCGTTGTTTACGCGTTTTGTTCAACAAGGTACGAAGGTGTTGTGTGCCTATGGATTAAACAAGCAGTGAAGAACGGCCAAACCTCAACTTCGTAATAGGTAAAATTTATATAAATCTTTTAGTAATTATAGAGTACTATATAAAGTATATCGAAAAGAGTAATATAATATCAGTGTCTAATATATATGTATGAGATATAACCACTTGAAACTTTAACGGTACCAAAATAATAATAAACAAGAAACTATTCAAGTAATGTTAAGTAGGTTAATTGAAGAAAACTTACTAGATTTTCAACAAAAAGAAGAAATTAACCGGTAAAGAGCTCATTTAGTTGCTTTTTGCTGAATGTAGAAAAACTACCAAATTTCAAAAATTACCCTTCTGGTAGCGCTATTGGCAATTATTACTTAATCACTTGCTTTAAATAGTAATAATCATCAAGATAGAAATCGTTTAAGTTCATCTATGGCCAGTATAAATGTAAAATAAATATCTTTAGTCGCTTTTGGCTGAAGGTAAAGTAGATTTTATTTTATTTTGTATGTACTAACTACCGCGCTCAGCGGTTTTACCCGCGTAGTTTCCGTTCCCGTGGGAAATGAAAAAAATTAAATAATTTTAGTTATTTCTTATAACATCCGCTATCTTCCAGTGAAAGTCCCGTTAAAATCGGTCCAGCCGTTAAAGCGTTTAGCGTTGCCCCGAGACTTAACCCGCGTATGTTCGATTCCCGTAATAACTTCGGGAAATGTTATAAGTACGTATAAACCTTCCTATTAAATCTATCATTTATTGATGAAAACTGCTTTAAAATCCGTTGCGTACTTTAAAAGACATAAGCGTACGTACATACATACAGAGGGACAGAGGGCGGGAAGCGACTTTGTTTTTTACTATGTAAAGATAAAGATTCAATTTAAAAAAAATATAATACTTTGACAAAATCTTTATTTGATATAAAAAAAACAATGTTTAGTCTTCTAAGCTTGACAGAGAACATGTGTCATCACTGTCAGAGAGAGTCGCAGCTGGCAATCGAGCAACACTGCTAGCTTCAGTAGCTTACACCTTTATTGCAAAGATTAAATTAGATCCTTCTTCTTAGCTATGGATATAGGGAGACGTCCACTGTATATCTGCTGTAAGGGTGGAAAGATAGCTCCTGAACTGGGTGGCTGCATAGATATTTCATCAACTACTTCTTGTTGCTTACCCTTGTTTCTGGTTGCATAACCATGGTTTGCGTAAGGTAAAGGGGTCTTCGTAATTTGCAAGTTGGTTTTCATGGATGTAGTAACATCCAATATCATAAACTCATTAGACATGTCATAATTATAGTTAATCCTATTGTCTCCTTTCATATACTTCATATGTTTAATCTTGAGCCAGTTCACTTTTTCGCCTTCTGTGTTTCTATTTCTATTTATTATTACCGTCACCGCCAATACCTTTAAATCTTTAAATTCATGGTATTTGAATTCTTTAACATGGTAAGCGTTCTGATAATGATGTAAAAACATTCAGATTTCAGCACTACTTTTTTTTACCATGCACTTCATTCCAAACAAAACAGTAAGCTTCATTGGGAAGTGCGATTTCGTAAATTGTTAAATTGTAAACTGTCAATTTTCTTGTGTAATAGAGAAGATCTACATCAGTACTGGGCATTTGCAATATTGCTTGTAAGTCAAACGAAACTGTTAAGAAATCAGTTTCTTTTTCAGCCCTTTGTTTATCGTTATGTTTTTCCCGATTACATGTGTCCTTCGTTTATATGTGTTTATCATAATCTTTTTGTAGTTTATCTTTTTCTTCGCCGTTGGCACGCTTAAATTTGGTACATAAAAGACATTGGTCTTTTTAGGCATAAAAAACCTAAATTAAATTCTGTAGAGAAAACCCTTCGATAAGTCATTTCTGATACAACTGATTCGCTATTTTTGTTTTTGCATTCTTCTACATAGAGAGCGTACATTTTGCTTAATGTAAGTCCTGTATCTAAATACCTGCGTTTCAACTTCTTTCGCACATAGTGGCTTTTCATGCTAGGAAATGATGCTATGTGCTTTTTAACAGCTTCTACCATCTCAGGCGACGTTTTATTTGGAGGCTCACGACGACCGCGCGGGTCCTGTTCTTTTGAATACTGTCCCAAACTATTGCGGTGCTTTACAGCATCTGCTATCACATGCGGTGAAATGCTTAATGTTCTGCAAAAAAAATCTTGGCACACATTTGCTTTCATTCCTTCAATGATAAAAAAAAACATTGTTTTTTATACTTGCGCTGTGTAGATCGTTTTCTGATCAAAATAATCCTCTTTGTAGGTTTGACATCAATATAACTCAATATAAACTGTTTTTTTGAAATGTAGTCTAGGTTCCAGTATTTTCTGCACAAATCTTTACGAATATTTTCGGTTACATGATTGTTGCAGTTAAATTTGCACTTAGAACAGTTAATAGGCTTAGGGAGTTTTGGTTCTCGATATTTCGATTTAGTTACGTATGGAAGGCCTTCAGCTCTACGTCTTTTTGCTAGATTATTTTTCCATGTAGCTGGATCTCGTCGACTCCATCGAGCACGTGGTTGTATAACTTTCCAAGTTAGTTTAAATATATTTTCGGTTATTGCTTGGACCACATACTGGGATTCATTATTTTAGGAAGTTGTTTTGTTTTGCCAAACAATAAGGCTATAGCTTTACTTCGCATTTCTTTTATATTATTTTCTTTAGTTAAATATCTGTCTGGATTTAACAACTCATCCAATTGTATAAATTCTGAATCGTCAGATTCAGGTGTAGTAGGGCGATCTAGATTAGAAGGTAAATACGGCGGGTCCCTATCTGAAAAGTCACCACCAAAGAGAGATTCATTTTCGCTTTCTTCAATTCGTTCCTGACTTTCCATAGTTAGTTTTGATGAAATGTCAACTGTAATTGAAAGAAAAAAAATTAAGTTAATTCTACAAAAGATAAACAATACCATTGGATATGTATAGGACGTTAAATTTTCGCACCTCAATCAATTTTAAAGAGCATGGTTAGCCACGAGGTACTCTGCTCACATACACATACATAGACATTTAAAACAGAAGTAAAACAGAATAATTAATTAATATTATGGCGTCACTATTCATTTTCTTCGAGCGGCCTGAAGAACAAAGTATCGTAAAATTAGCCTTCTCAAAAGAACTTCAATACAAACTTATAAAAAATAACTTGTTATGAACTTCTCTTGAAAGCACAAGAACCAAAGAAGACTTATCAGATTCTGACTCTCCAGCATAATTGCTAACAGGACCTATCTGATTCATTTTAGTACAATCACTATCTTTCTTTCTTTTCTTTTCGACCTGACTCGAGCAAGCAGCATCTGTAAACAGATAATCACGTTGAATAAGATTTGTTAGTCGGGAGGCAGCTCGGGAGTTGTAAGTTTGTAATTGTATTTATAGGTTTTTAAATGTAATAACTTCTATAGTTTAGCTTTAATAACTTATTTTGTTACAGACAATACTTTCATCATATTTGGCTGACCTGATCATTATCGTACATAGCTAAGAACTATCTCCCTTAAACCAGCTTTCTATTAAAAAAGCACAACCAAATCGGTCCACCTGTTTGGGAGCTACGATGCCACAGACAGACACAAACACAGGCAGATGGACATACACACACACAGGCTGACAGATACACAGGCAGACGGACAGACGGCGTCGAATTTACATGTAAAACTCCACTTTTGCGTCGGGGGTTAAAAAGAATAGGCATATTATATGTACGGTCCGTTCCTGTGGGATACTGGGATCCACACACATCACACACCTGTCTGTTTGTCTGTTACGAGAAGGACATAGGCTACTTTTTATCTTGGTAATTCCACGGGTTCGAGACTTACACAAGTAAAACCGCGTTGCACAGCTAGTTATAATTAAAGTGACTGTACGTTAAGTACCTACCTTCTCTTGTCGTAGAAATTGGCAAATCACACATCAACCCTGTCGGCTTCGACTGACTTAAATACATGTCATACGCTTGCGATAGTTAGTCATCATTACACCAAAAATCATCTGTGAAATATAGTAAACTCGTTAGATATTTCGACAGAACAATACTTTACACAATTTTGTTAGTAAAACCTGTTAAGTACCGGCTTTTATAACCTAAAGATTTAAATTATTGTTACGAGCTTGAGGTTCGTGACAATAAAACTTGCCGATAAAATTACCTAAATTAACACTTTAATTTTCTTTACACTTTATTCCGCTCCGAAGCTTCGCTTGTCTCGCCAACTTCAATACTTCCCCGATCGCGTATTGCAGCGCCTTTATATAGGGCTTTTCCACGAATACATCCAGAATATTCCAGAATATTCAAGTAAATACGCACGCCAACCGACCAAGCGCAGAAAGTTCGAGTGTGGGGCTTCCAGAAAGCTTAGTTCTTCAATTCGATACTAGATGGCGCTGTCGGTTGAAAGATAAGTGATGTCATTTTCTGGAAAGCTCCCCTCGCTCTCGTCTCTGACACTTCGTCTCTGACGTCTTAGGCGCGTAACACTGCCCCCTCCTAAGACATGCTCGTCCCGAGCATTATCGGACCCATAATAACGCGCCAAGCGATCCACATGGACGATCTTAGGAGTCCCTCTTGCGCCTTTCTGTAACGGCTCCGCAATGTCAAGGGCTGTCCTATCCCGTGGTGCACCAACATTGTACAATTTCGATGCTCCTCTACTACGTGTCTGAGGTCCCCTCACAGCCGCACAACTTGTACATGTACGACACCAATCCTCGACATCGTCACGATAATGGACCCAGTAAAACTGTTCTCGGACCTTCAGCAGAGTTCGTTTAACTCCCAGATGGACTCTTGAACGACCATTATGGCACAGCTGTAGAACATTCGGCACTTTAGCTTTAGGGACAACCATTTGCAAACGACAGCAGTCCCCTCGACCATTGTCCCATTTACGGCACAGGACTCCATACTGAAGCAGCAAGCTGTCCCATTGGGCCCAATAGCTTTTAGTGGTCGAACTCATCGCTGAGACGTCGCTCCACTTGGGCTTGGGAGCACTGGCCTTCATCCATTCCAGAATCGGCTTGATGTCCGGATCTTCCTGCTATGCATGTTGTAAGCTGTCCTTCCACCCGTTGCTGAGGTGGTCTGTCCTGAGCATCCTCACGGATACCACTTCCTTACTCTTTTGCATAGTACAATGTTCCCAATCTTCAGGACAAGGTCTTCTTGACAATGCATCTGCGTTGCCATGAGATTTCCTGCTGCTATGTCTGATAGTAAAGTCATATCCCGGCTACTGCTGGGCGGTGATGTTAGCTGCACTTCCCTTCTGAGATCGTTCACCTTCCCTTTTCAGGGTTCGCTTAGGGCAGCTGGATCGAAGATGGCCCCTTTCCCCACAGCCATAGCACCTAGGGCTGTATCCTTTATCGTGGCCGCGAACCGTAACTGCTGCAACATCCCTAGCGTGAGGGGAACGATGATCCTGCCGCCGCCAGGCGGTGCCGTTAGCTGCACTACCCTCTCGAGATCGATCAACTTCCCCTTCTAGGGTTCGCTTAGGGCAGCTGGATCGAAGATGGCCCTTTTCCCCACAGCCATAGCACCTAGGGCTGTATCCTTTGTTGCGGTCGCGAACTGTAGCTGCTGCAACCTCCCTGACGCGATGGGAATGATGATCCTGCCGCACGGCTTCCACCTCCAGTGCATGGGCCAAGGCGTCCTTAAGCGTCACAGCCGCTCTGACTTCAAGGTCGCGGATTCCGTCGATCAATGTCTGAACCAGGTTCCCTTCAATGAGCGCAGGTACAGACCGGTATGCTTTTCCAACCATCTTCTCCACCTCAAGGGCCCACTGCTGCAGGTTTTCGTTGCTGCGTTGCACGCGATCTTTAAGCTGTGCGCGAAAGACGTGTTCCAGGTGAGCGTCACCGTATCTCGCCTCCAATGCCTCAAGGAGCTGCTCGCAGGTCACTTTCTTACCGAGAGCTTCCAACACAGTTAAGGCTTGGTCGCGCAGGCCTAAGGTGAGTGCAGTCATGGCCTGGCTTTTATTCCAGCCGTTTGCCTCCATGACGGCCTCGAACTGTATTTTGTAGGCCGACCAGGAAGAAGTCCCGTCGAACGGTGGTACCTTGAACCCACGTAGCGAAGGTGTAGTAGCTACTGCGGGGGCTGCAATTTCATCTCCAAGTTTGAGTTCATCCAGCGTTTTCTTAACTTGGTTGATTTGGGTCTCAGCTTCCGACAGGCGGTTATCATGTTGAGCAACCTTATCCTTCACCTCCCTTATCTCTTTCCCGAAGGTAGCGTGAAGGTCCTTCATGAGAAGCATCTGCTCTTCCCTATCGCGTTTGAGCTGCTCTTCTAAGCGACGGGCCTGTTCCTCCTGCTGCTCTTTCAACTGACTGGCCTGTTCCTCCTGTCCGCGCTTCAGCTGCTCTTCGAACCGACGAGCCTGTTCCTGCAGCATCACCATCAGAGCGCCTAAATCAGGTGCTGCAGATGCAGGAGCTACTGACGGACCGGCCTCCGTTGCCGGCGGCTGGCCCTCCGACGTCTGCGGCGTTGCACCACCAAATCTTCTCTGGTCCGTCTCATGCTGGCGTTGACTGCGGGTACGAACACCCTCCGTTTCCTCCTTAGGTAAAATCGGCATGATTTTATCCCACTTCTGACACCAATTGTTACGAGCTTGAGGTTCGTGACAATAAAACTTGCCGATAAAATTACCTAAATTAACACTTTAATTTTCTTTACACAAATTAAAACTTAAAACACTAATAATTAAGCACACTAATTCACTTTATTTCGCTCCGAAGCTTCGCTTGTCTCGCCGAATTCAATACTTCCCCGATCGCGTATTGCAGCGCCTTTATATAGGGCTCTTCCTCGAATACATACAGAATATTCAAATAAGTCGGTTGAAAGATGAGTGATGTCATTTTCTGGAAAGCTCCCCTCGCTCTCGTTTCTGACACTAGATTGGCGCTAGTGTCGTCGACTTAGGTGCGTAACATTATGTTACTTACCTTGGATTTGTATGGAATTTTCAAATATCTTTTCTTTGTCACCTTTAGAGACACTCATTTTATAAAATTTCACTATTATAACGAATAATACTATGCTGTTTTTATTCTATTAGCACGAGACAATCAAACGCTCGACAGTCCGCGCACGATTAAGAACCGCGTATAAAGAGCGCGCGTTGTAAATTGCAAGACGTGCGCAAGAGACGGCTATACATGGATAGTCGGTTTTAGCTGAAGCTAATTGCATGTACCTAGTGAAAGAAAAAAGTAAACACAGATAATTGATAGTAGCTGAAGATATTCGGAAACTGTCGTAGCCCAGTTATACAGTAAAAGTAAACTATAGTTATCTAAGTTTTTTTACCTGCAATAACTTTAACCAAATATGGTGTTAATTTTTCGGCAAAAAGCTACTAACGGTTTTCAGTTTGTTTTACTAGTAGATACATCAGCTGTTTCTAGTATATTAATAAAAGCTGAAACCAGTTACCGCAGGTTAATATTTACTAGCAGAATAATATCGACATAAATAACAAATCAAGCAACTACGTCTGAAAAGTGTTACGGAACATGGTTTTTGTGGTATACATTTAAAATTTTTAACCCTTAAATTCATAGTGTTGGATGCAGCCTACGTAATATTCTGGTGGCTGTATCTAGTAAGCCTTTGCCTAAAAAAAACAAATCTCATTGTATTGTGTCGGCGACATACTAGTTTTTCTATTGTCATGTTGGCAAAACGTAAATGTCATTTGAATTTAAAATTGACAGCAAAAATTTTTTGGTGAGAACCGGTTAGAAAAAGTTTGTTCGCGAAGTTAATGTGTAAACAGATTTTGTTGGATTTTTCAAAGTAAGTGATGCTTGCCGTGTAGTGGCGGTTAAGAATATCCACTACCCCATATCTTCCCGTGGGTGTCGTTAGAGGCGACAGAGGGAGACAGGCAGGAGATGGGCAGCAGCATCTTCCTGATAACAGCAACTGTACGACAAAAAAAAACTGCGGTTGCCAACCCGCTCGCCAAGCGTGGCAACTATGGCAATATACCCCCCATGAACAATTACACAAATAGACGGCCCCCAGTCCCCGGCGGCCCCGCTATTCCTGGCTACGGTGGCGACCATGGTAACGGCGGGGCAGAGGGTGCTAAGAATCTCCGGTGGAGGTTCGGTTGCCACCTACGACGACTCGACCTGGCAACATTTAACGCACGCACACTGAGGACTGACGAGAAGATCCTGGAGCTGGAAGAAGAGATAGACAAGTTGCGCTGGAGTATTATAGGATTATCCGAGGTCCGAAGAGAGGGGGGAGGACACGGTGATTCTCGAATCCGGCAACTTGTTCTATCACCGGGAGGGCGACCATCTGTCCCAAGGAGGTGTCGGATTTATCGTCCACAAGTCTCTCGTCAACAACGTTGTACAGATTGAGAGTGTGTCGACGAGGGTCGCGTACCTGATACTCAGAATCACCAAACGGTATTCGCTGAAGGTCATACAGGTTTACGCACCAACGTCGGCACATTCCGATGAGGAGGTGGAGGAAATGTATGAGGATATTTCCAAAGCCATACATTCCTCCAAAACCCACTACACGGTGTTGATGGGAGACTTCAACGCAAAACTAGGCACAAGAGAAAGCGGTGAGCTGAAGTTAGGGAAATTTGGAGTAGGGCAACGGAACCGAAGGGGCCAGCAGCTGGCCGACTTTATGGAGAAAGAGGGACTCTTTATGATGAACTCTTTCTTCCAGAAGCGGCCCCACAGGAAGTGGACCTGGTCGAGCCCCGACGGTTCGACAAAAAATGAGATTGACTTCATTATGACGACCAGACGCCAACTGTTCAGTGATGTCTCAGTGATCGCAAGGGTGAAAACTGGCAGCGATCACCGAATGGTTAGAGGCACACTGAACCTAAACGTTAAGTTGGAGAGGTCTCGTCTAATGAAGTCAACGCTCCGTCCCCCTCGTGCTCTGATCCAAAATCCCGAAAACTTTCAGCTCGAGTTACACAACCGCTTTCAGTGCCTACAAGATTGCAATGCAGTGGACGATATGAATGACAAGCTCGTGGAAACTGTCCATGCGGTCGGAGCTAAGTTCTGCAAGACCCGCCGCAGAAGAACACAAAAACTCTCCGATCACACTCTTAATCTCATGGCTGTTAGACGGGAGATGAGGCTGCAATCGTCAACAGATTTGACAGCATACAGGCAACTGAACAGACAGATCTCCAAATGCATGCGGCGAGACTTACGCAACTTTAATACTGCTCGTATTAAAGAAGCGATCGAGCGGGACCAGGGCTCCAAAATCTTTGCCTGAGATCTATCTGCCAGAAAGAGCCAACTGTCAGGGCTGAAGACTGAGTGTGGCAGCATCGTTTCCGGGACACCTGAGATTTTGAGTGAGATTGAGAGGTTCTATGGGCAGCTGTACACATCATCGTTGGAGCCACACGCAAGTGTGAGTAACGATCCAAGAGCAAGTCTTATCCGACACTATTCCGATGATATCCCGGACGTCAGTCTAAGCGAGATTAGAATGGCTCTCCAGCACCTTAAAAACGGCAGGGCCCCAGGCGAGGATGGAATTACAGCGGAGCTTCTGAAAGCGGGTGGAACACCGGTACTTGACGTCCTTCAGAAGCTCTTCAATTCCGTCCTCCATGGTGGCACTACTCCAGAGGCGTGGAGCAGAAGTGCGGTGGTCTTGTTCTTTAAGAAAGGCGACAACGCTCTCTTGAAGAACTACAGACCGATTTCCCTTCTGAGCCGCGTCTACGTGCTGTTTTCGAGAGTCATTACGAATCGTCTCGCACGCAGACTCGACGACTTCCAGCCTCCCGAACAAGCCGGTTTCCGAAAAGGCTTCAGTACCATAGACCACATACATACCCTGCGGCAGATTGTACAGAAGACTGAAGAGTACAATTTGCCACTTTGCCTGGCGTATGTGGACTATGAGAAAGCCTTTGATTCCGTCGAAATTTGGGCGGTGCTGCAGTCCCTTCAGCGGTGCCAAGTTGACTGTCGGTATATTGAAGTGCTGAAGTGTTTGTACAGTAGGGCTACGATGGCTATCCGAGTACAGAACCAGAGCTCGAAACCTATCCAACTGCAGAGAGGTGTAAGACAGGGTGACGTTATATCCCCGAAACTCTTCACCGCTGCTTTGGAAGACGTTTTCAAGCTACTGGACTGGAAAGGATACGGTATTAACATCAATGGCGAGTACATCACTCACCTTCGATTTGCCGACGATATAGTCCTTATGGCAGAATCGCTGGAGGACTTAAGCACTATGCTCAATGACCTCAATAGTGCCTCCCAACGGATAGGTCTTAAGATGAACATGGACAAAACAAAGATTATGTTTAATGTCCATGTCACACCTATGCCGGTAGTTGTTGGGAGCACTATGCTCGAAGTTGTTGACGAGTACGTTTACCTGGGACAAATAGTCCGACTAGGTAAGTCCAACTTCGACCGAGAGGTCAATCGACGGATTCAACTCGGCTGGGCAGCGTTCGGGAAATTACGACATATCTTCTCGTCAGGTATACCTCAATCTCTGAAAACTAAAGTGTACAACCAGTGCGTGTTGCCAGTGATGACTTACGGATCAGAGACGTGGTCCTTCACTGCTGGCCGTATGAGGACGCTCAAGGTCGCTCAGCGAGCTATGGAGAGGGCTATGCTCGGAGTTTCTCTGCGTGATAGACTCAGAAATGAGGATATCCGCAGTAAAACCAGATTGACCGACATAGCCCAACGGATTAGTAAGCTGAAGTGGCAATGGGCCGGCCATATAGCTCGAAGAACCGATAACCGATGGGGAAGAAAGGTTCTCGAGTGGCAGCCTCGTACCGGTAGGCGTAGTGTAGGGCGACCCCCCACTAGATGGAGTGACGACCTGGTAAGATATGCAGGAAGTCGATGGATGCAGGTGGCTCAGGACCGTGCTTTGTGGCATTACTTGGGGGAGGCCTATGTTCAGCAGTGGACTTGTGAAGGGCTGTGATGATGATGATGATGATGAAGTGATGCTATTTTATTTGTATTTCGTTTGAAGATACAGTGAATATTGAGACGAGTTAGTAGAAATCGCATTTCGAATCTGAATAACCACTACAACTTCAATTTTTCTTTGTGTAGGCCGTATCCTACATTATGCATTTAGTACTAAAATTTGGTACAATTTATGATATATTATTACAGAGGTATAAATTGATGTTTCAGATGGCTAATCGCAGGTGGACTGGTAGTGATGACCAAATAAGCGCCTACATAGCTTACTTAGTGTGATGTATATAAAAGCCGGAGAGAACACAAAGAACGTAACGCAATCTATAACAGTTTATTCCATAATGAACTCCCTGTATTATCTTAATTTACCCGCCACCTATATAATCAGTCTTAACCTACTACCCTACATTACACTCCTCTACACTTATTTATTATTATGCTAATCTTAAATATAACTTAATTACTTAACATTATTGTATCAGCGCTTAATCAATATTAAGGTTTTTGAGTCTACATTGCCTTATAGGGCGACTCCGAGGCTTTGTGGGCGGTACAACGTTTGGCAAGGTATCCTGATACGCCTGTGAACCCGGGTTCTCACTGGTCGTCTCCCTTGCCGACTCCTTTAAGCCGATTTCAGCCTCTGAGGTTTCTACCACCCCCCGGTCATCCCGATCCGCCGACGGACCCGGCTGAGCCTTTCCCACCTCTGGTGTCACCGTCGGCTCGTTGGTTGAATTTGTGCTGCAACCTGACTGAGGATCATTGTAAGGACATGTCATAGATGTCCTTAAAGATCTCCTTTTTAATTGGTCTATATGTCTATGAATTATTTCGCCACCTTTTCCCTTAATTGTATAGCTATTAGGACCCCTAACGTCTACTACTTGACCACTGCCCCACTTTTCCCCTTTCAAGTATTGTCTATACCAAACATCTTCCGAAGGATTCAGTTTCCTGTCTCCTCCTTTGGCTAAGTCTTTCTGGTGTCGTTGCACCTTATAAATCCTGTTTTCCCTGTCTGGT